AATAAGAAGTGTGAAGAAAGGACGTTCCTGCCAAAAAACACATTAAAAAAAAAAAAAAAGCTAAATTAAGTAGCAAGTAAGCATTTTACCTTTCATGCTCTAATGAACTGGGTGCTAGGCTAAACAGCACTCATATGGACAATAAAGCAATTCACATACGTTAATTCATTTAATACACAATTCTATTAAGTAGGAAGGAGCTCTGGTGGTAGTAGGTAAGACATTTGGCTACTAACCAGGTCAGTGGTTCAAACCCACCAGCTGCTTTACTTGAGGAAGACAAGGCAATCTACTTCCATAAAGATTAACAGCCTTGAAAACCCAATGGGGGTCTCTATGAGTCAGAATAAACTCAATGGCAGTGGGTTTGGTTTTGAATTAAGTAGGTACATTATTTTCCTTTCCCACTAAATATGTATGTTCCACGGAATGATCTATGTCTATTTTGTTTACTACCATATCTCAGGCACCTAGATCAATGCTTCATGCAGATGGATTTTCAATAAGCACTTATTGAACAAATCTACATCTTACAGATGAGAAAACTGAGGCACAGATATGTTAGTGAACTTGGCCAAGGTCACACATTCAGTAAATGTTAGACCCAGGTGATCTGACTCCAAACTCACTCTCTAAAGTGGAAACTCTTTATTTCTGTTTTGTTACATGAAAAGAAAAAAGAGCCCAACATACCCCAGATACCTTCTTAACACAGTAAACAAAACAAAAATCCACTGGCGTGGAGTCAGATCCAACTCATGGCAACCCCTTCTTGGGTTTCCGAGGCAGTATCACTACAGAAGTAGATTGCCAAGTCTTCCTTCCAAGGAGTGGCTGGTAGGTTTGAACAGCCAGCCTTCTGGTTAGCAGTCAGGTGCCTTAGGCACTATGCCACCAGAGCTCCTCTTTACACAGTAGGCAAGGATAAATGGGAGGAAGGTCTTCTGAAAGCTATTCTACTAGCTTATGCATGTCTTCTCTCTGCAATTTGTTCTGGGCAGGGTTAATGTCCCATCTGTCCTCACCATAAAGGGGACTACAGTGGGATCAGCACAGATCCCACAGTTAAAACTCTAATTTCTGGCAGGTAAGGAAGGTCTATTGCCTCATCATTCACCAGAGCTGGATGCCCCCTGAAGGCTTCTCAACAAACCTCAAACCCCAGACAGCTCAGCAGACTCCAGAGCCAAAGCTGAAAGCTCTTTGCCTCTGGGATTCTCCTGTTGCTTTTAAAATGATATATTAATAATGGAAAATCCCTTATGGCATTCAGACCACAAAGAGAGATTGAGGATATTATCTGAATTTTAAAAGACTATAAACAGTGTCACTGTTAGCTCTAAGCCCTGGTTGTAATACTTAAGGAGTGTGTTTAGATTCTCGATCTCTCTCAACAAAGATAATCATTGCTCAATATTTTCATATACACTGAATTTTAGGAATTCCTTCTATGGGTCAATGTGCATTTTACCATTCTCATTTTCTCATCTGGCTCTCTCTAATATCACTGTCTTTGTACCTGAGCAAGAAAGAACCTGCCCATTTGATCCAACTCCCTCACTCTGTATATGGGGAAACTGGGACCCAGAAATAAAATTATTTTCCCATGGTTGTTCAGCAGGTTAGCCACTAAGTATTACAGATAATGAGAAAAGCAACAGGAAATTAAGAAGAACCTATTTAATTCTTTGCTGTTATTCTTGTTCTTGAAATCTACTCCAAGTTTCCATTTAGTCCATACTCATCATGTGCCTTCTCTGTGTACCTCAGTGTGGCCAATACAAAGAGAAGATCTGTCCTGGAGGAATTCATTTCTTCCTGGGATTTATAACATGGACACATGAAATAATCAAAGAACAGTTCAAGATAGCGCTCAGCCATTTGCTTATTTATTAATTCGTGAATCTATCCATTCATTCATTGAATGGATAGTTATTGTACATAGTAATATGTCAGAAATAGATCTTGCTCTCAAGGAGCTTATAATCTACTAGGGAGGAAAAGAGCATATTGAACATATGCTCAAATAATTACTGTTCAGGTCTTAGGGCCTTGTTTGTGTAGATTCAATGTGGGCCTTGTTAATGGCCCTGCCTGAAGTTTCTATCAAGTCTGATAGGTTGACTCAGGTAGTCAGAAGTCTGGAACATTTAGTTGGGCTTGAGAAGTCATGATGTTCTTTCCAGGAAAGAGGTAGCAAACTCACTTTTACAAAGAATCTGTACTATGCTGGATGCTTGACATTTAGTTATGACAGCAACCCTTAGGCATCAAGAAAGTGAGGTTAAGAAAATGTAACTTCTCTAAAATCATCCAGCTACAAATAAACTTGCCTCAACTCCATCTGACTCCAAAATCTTTGCTCTTTTAATATAGACTCTCTGCTGGCCTGCTTTTCCAGCCTTGCTGGGAAGACCCACCTTGCAGGTGGTGCTTATTTGTATTAACTTGACTCTTTGGGGAGTAAAGGGGAGGGCTTGGATATTTTTGTGATATATTTGTATCACAAAAAGTATTACAGATAATGAGAAAAGCAGTGGTACTTTGTGGTACTTTGCAGCTATGGCCTGCAGAGGAGTGAGTGGCTCTGCAAGGACCTGGTGATATCCTGTAGGCTATGGAGCACTCCTGTGAGAGGGACTATTATCTGACATTCATTCATTCGTTCATTTGTTCAACAAGTATTCACTGAGTCAGGCAATCATAGGGCACTTCACTGAGTCAGGCAATCATAGGGCACTGGGCATACAATAGAGCACAAGGTAGAAGCATGTTTGGTCTTCCATCATGGATGTCTAAAGCTGATTTGCCACAGAGAAGGGTGCAAGAAGGGATCTGTTAAAACTTCTTCTTCAAATATTTACAAGGTGCCTAGCATGTACCATACAGTGGTAAGTTAGACACAATCCCTGCATTCAAGGACTCTGGGTCTAGTGCCTGCTTTGATCTAGTTCATCACCTACTTTTTCCTTTCTTCTCCTCCTTGACTTTGGTTCATTTGGGTCCTGAAAACCCACAGGACACAGACTGGATTTTCTCTTCCATCCCCAGACTAACAGTCATAACTCAAGGTAGAATTTAGACAGTTCTGTGATAAAATGATGATCCCTAGGTGGTGCAAACAGTTCACACTCAACTATTGAGCTTGGCAGTACTGCGATTGGCAGTACTGTGGAAGAAAGACCTGGCAATCTGCTGCCATTAGGATTACAGCCAAGAAAAGCCTATGGAGTTCAATTCTACTCTGAAACACCCGAGGTCTCCCTGAGTCACAACTGACTTGATGGAAACAGGTTTGATTTTGGTTTATAAGAGAGGGGAAACTGGCACACTTGACCCATGCCATGATCAAATCACCTTATATACACACAGAATATGGACCGTGAAAAAGAAAGCCAGAAGAACATTAAATATATTGTGGACTGCCAGAAAATGCACAAATCAATCTTAGGATAAATACAGCCAGAATCCTCCTAGGAAGCAAGAATGGTGAGAATTTGGTTTACTTACTTTGGACAGAAAGGACAATCTCTAGAAAAGGACATCATGTTTGGTAGAGTCATCAGAAATGAAGGAAGCCCTCAATGAGATGGACTGACACAATACTCATAGCAATGGCCTCAAACATACTAACAAACATACGAACAATCATGTAGCAGGACCAGGCAACATTTCATTCTTTTATACATAAGGTCGCTATGAGTCAGAGCCAATTTCACAGAAACTAACAACAATATGAAAGAGGGGCAGTTTACACAATGAAGAGGTTCAATAGATGATTAAACTACAGAATCTATGGAATGAATACTACTCAGTAGTACACCTGAATGGATAGATAGATCGGAATGGATTAACCAGAGATGCGTCATGAAACACATCAATGGCCTGATGACAACTCAATATGCACAATCTATGGGCAGATATGAGGTGGTATAAATGTGGAAGCTGCAAGCCAGCCAGGGATTGGTGGCTGAGAAAAGTGCATGGGCATTATGAGTCAGTTGAGGAGTGACTTGGTGTGTCCTAGAAGACAAGGTTAGTAATGGCCACTGACCTTTAAGAGGTCAAGAAGTCAGCAGATCAGTCACCATTCTCTTCCCAGCACTGGGACTTCTGACACCATTTATGTGATTGCCCAGGAACTGAGACAAAGTGGGAATTTTAGGAGGAAATCCAACCTGTTCCTGAAGTGTTTTCTGTCTGGCCTGGGCTTGCCATCAGAGAAGTGACTGAGGAATAGCCCTATTATTCTGAGAGGTTTGCTTAGAAGTTGAGCTTCCTGTGACTGTCTTGTTAGATGATGGGAGTTTTCCTTGTGAGGCCAGAATGCTAGTCACAGGAGCCTGTCAGTCTGGCTAGCAGACCCAGGCACACCATGGGAATCTCCCAGTCTTGGAGCTGGAAAGGGAAAGGCCTCAGAGGTCCACCCTCACTCCCCTGTCTGGAATCCCTTCCACAATGTCTGTGCCAATTGGAGCTCCAGTGACCACAGAATCACCTCTAGTGACCAGCAGCCTCTTCCACCTAGTGTTGGAATTAAACCCACCAGCCACTCCTCGGAAGGAAGGTTGGGCAATCCTACTTCCGTAGTGATACTGCCTTGGAAACCCAAGGAGGGGTCGCTATGAGTCGGGTTTGACTCGACGGCACATAACAACAACAACAACAACAATAAGGCACTGAAGTGTGTGTCCTTGCAACTTCTACCCATTGGCTCTGCTTTTTCCCTCAAGCCTACTTAATTCCTTGTCCATAGAATGGTTCTTTACTTCATGTGAAAATTATCACATCCATTGAAATTATCATCATGCTTCATTCCACTTGGCTTTCTCTTTTATAGGCTCAATGTTCCTACTTTCTCCAATCCATAGTTTCCCATTTCCTGACTTACAGAATAGTTTTCCTGTCATCCTTGTGAATCCCTCTCCAACTCCTGAACCTTCACCCTACTCCCACCCGCAGCAGAATGACTCATACATATCTGTGGCAGAGCTATAGTATAAGGGCTTCGCGTCTGTCCTCCCCTCTAGGCTCTGAGGTCCTAGAGGGAGGCACCATACCATGTCTTTTTCACACTCTACCTGTCCCCTAGCTCCCAATGCCTCCCATCTCTCAGGACCTCTCCCATCCATTTTTCCTCCATCTCTCCTCTGTACTGGCCCTTTATCTCCTAAGCACACCTCCCATCTCTAAAACAAATCCATCTTTCAGTCCCACATTCCCTAAAGGTTGTACCCTACCTCTCCCTTATAGCCAAGCTTCTTGGAATAAGTAATCACTAGCATTTCCTCCCCTTCAATTTACATTTTAACCCTCTTCATTATGGTTCTCTCCCTACCATTCCACTGAAAATGGTCTGACAAAGATCACCGATGATTTCTAGACACTAAGGTCCATAGGCCCATCATGATCAATTTCACTTGATGCCTCAGCAGCATTTGAGCTCCTGTGCCAGCTGCTCTGCAGCTCACCTTCACTTCTCTGCTTCCCCTGCTCACTTTCCTTTGCTGGGTACTCTTCCTCCATCTTTCTCTGCTCCCTGGATATAGATGTGCCCCAGGATTCTGTTGTTGGCCCTGATCCCTTCTCACTGCACAAGCGTTGCCTCAGGATTCTCATCAAATCCCATGACTGACTTCCTTATTATGTACCCACAATGCCCTGACTGTCATGTTCTCTCTCCTAAACTTCATGTGTAGCCCACTGCCTTGTGAACATACTCACTTCAGTGTCCCACAGAACCTCAGATTCAACATGTCCCAAACCTGTCTTCCCCAGCAAGCTTGCCTGTCTCCCTTTCCCCAGCCTCAGTGAGTAATGGACATCACCATCCACCCATTCTGGGCTCCTCCTTCTCCTTCCTACCTGGTCTGTGATTAAATCCTGTCCATAATAATCATAGCTTTCACGTACTCACTGCCTACTATGCGCCAGGCTTTTTATATAGAGTACTTCATTCCATTCTCATGATGGGACTGCAAGAGAGGTATTATTATCCCACTCTATTATCAGTGGATATTAAATAGCTAGCCTAAGGTCACACTTCTTGTAAGTAATGGAGCTGGACTCATCTGATCCCAAAGCTCTGTCTACTCGCCCACCTTCCCCCTTTCCTCCATCATGTTTTAGCTCCTTGACACCTTTTAGCAAACCCCCTTCTTTCCTTCCCTGTACCCACAATGGTTAGGAGGCAACAAACAATCTGCTGTACTTAGAACGTCAGAAGACACAGGAGGAAAGTTGAACAATAAGGTTAGGGTCAAAATGAACATCACCCTAAGGGGTTTGGGCATAACCTCACAGGCAGTGGGAGCTCCAGGGGTTTTCAGGAAACGATTGGTTGTACAGACTTGTGTTTAGAAAGATTTGAAGGATGGATTGGAGGAGAGGGAATGAACCTTGGAATGGTGAAATAATTACTTTAGGATCCTGGCTAGAATTGGCAATTATAATAATCCTAGCAAGAGATGGCCTTGCCTTGAATCCACCTAGCCCCACATGGTACAAAGTTCTTTCTGCAGAGAGTTGTGTCTCTCAAAATGTGCTCCACCATACATGGGGAAGGTGGGCTGCATCAAGGTAAGGTCTTTGGTCGGTAAGCTTAGAAAATGCTTGGCTACACAGGATTTTTAATGCAGGGCTTTCAGAGCCTTTAATCCGTGTTGCATGTGTAACATGTAGTTTTCCACACTTACCTAACTGTAAAACAAAGACCTAGAGCTATCACAATTTTGTCAGCTCTAGTTCCTGGAAGGAAAAAAAGAAAAAAGAAATAGCTTTCCATTGAGTGACTGACAACTGATACTCTCACTGAATACTGCTGTGAGTCTTACGTATGTGTTTTTAATTGGAGGAACAGAGTGGATTCCATGGAAAAATGAGTGAGCATTTAGTCATTCTTTTTGGAGACAGACTGAGCAAATTCACCAGGTCTCTCATGTTTGTTCAGACCTGAAAGAGGTCAAACCCAAGTGACTGAAAGAATGGCAGGTCCTGACCTATGAAACAGAGAAGCCAGGTCTGCAGCCTCTGGAATGTTCTTCTCTCACTGACATGCTTCACACTGCATTTGGTCCTTTTTCCTAGGGGGAAGGCAGAAGAGTTATCTTAGATTCTCTTTAACCTTGGAAGGCTGTATCCCAGGTGACAGGTGCTGGCTCTGTTGGTCGTAACCTGGCTCTCCTCGTACTATCACACAGCTCACTAGGGCTCCCTTGAATGGGTCACTGTTTGCAGGCTTCCTCTTGCCTGAGTGCTAGGAAAAAAAAAAAAAAAAAAATCCTCCCTGAGTTTT